TCTTTCGTTCTCTCATTCTCTCCCTCCCTTTCGCTACATCGATCACACACACGTGTCGAAGATTTAAGTGATTCGAGTTGATCGTCGACAAGACCCACCTAGAAGGCCTGCAGACCCTGAGAGACTAATTGTAAAACCTATCGCGACGTGTCGTTGGTCCTGCCGACCGAAGCAAATTGATACCGCGCCACGGTAACACGTACGTACACAATTATGCTATCACTATATATAGTTTCTTGAGGACTACCGCCGCTACCGCTAACAACGTTTCTCCATCGTTTAATTAATAATACGACTGTGCTTCGTTTAGGAAGTGTTTTCGCTTCTCTCTTATAAAAGTGGAACGATCGATCATTTCGTTTTGTAACTTGTCACGTGAAAATATTGTGTCGCAACGATCGAATACCAACGGGAATATCATTCTTTTTTTCCACGAAACGTTCTGGAAAAATCTAGCCTCGCCGTCCGTTGCCACTGAACGGCGGGAACCGAAACGCGCGCGACGCGGCCAGCCATGGAGGACTCGCGTGCGCGCACGTGTCCGGAATAACAGCGTGCTTAGAAATTGACCACAGTGGCCGAGGGACACGGGGGCATTACGTGTGCGGCATGTAATGCTGCTGGTTTTCGAGAGGATGCGAGAACTGCAGTTGGTTCTGCGTGTGTATCTGCATCTGCAGCTGCATCTGTTGAGCCTGTAACTGTGCCAACGCTGCGGGCGAAGCGAAAGCCGGATAAGCGAGAGTCGTGTTCAAACTCTCGTTGTGTTCCTCGAGGGAATTCTGAGCATAATGTAGCACCAAGTGTTTCAAACTTTTATGGATATTGTACGGCTCGGCGAACCCGAAACCGCGCTCCGTCCCGTATATTATGCAATGATTTACGGTACCATTACACCTGCAACAGATAAAGATATTGTGTTTGTTTCGACCATTAACGCTAATGTAACGTAAACAACCGATACATATCACCGGGGAAAACAAAGCTGAGCAACGCTTAGGTATACAGATGTATACATGGATTACTCGGAACGTTAACCTTCGTTTCAAAGTCATTGAAACGATGCGTCTGATCTTATGTAATTAGCGAATGCAATGGTTAATGGATAGAAGGGATGCATGCCGATGGCAAAAAGCAAAGGATCTACCTAGCAGATCTCGCTCGAGACGCAAGGACGATTCAACGAGAAGTCACGAATGGTATACGTAAAAATAGGTTAAAAGACTGTGTAGCAGCGGGAAAAGTTTTCCGTCGACGACGTAACCCACCGGTGACGAGCGTAGGCGTCGCCGAAATTGAAACTGTCGAGAATAGAGAAGAAAGCAACTTACATGATTGACAACGCGTACTGTCCAGTCCTTGAGGTCCGAACGAGGAAGGTACCATCTGGTCGGTCGGCCAGCAAACGGTCCGCGTCGGAACGAGAACACTCGAGAGAAAGCCACGTCTTCTCATCGGAATGAACGTCAAGGTCAACTTCTTGAAGATCCCCGTAACCCACATCGCCCAACACTGAATCAGAGACCGAATGGTTCGACACGAGTTGGTTTATTTTGTTTTGCTTCACGCCGTTCTTCTTCAACCATCTGTAAGATAAAAATAGAACGCTCGAAAGACCGTAGCTCCGAAAAAGAATGTTTTTCTTATTCCCCGACGGAACCGTCGATATACGTACACGCTGTGCTTCTCCCTTTGACGCACTAGCTGTCGGATATCCGGTTTCAACTTCTGCATCTCCCTTTCGAGGGTCCTGTTGTAAGCGATTTGCTCCTTTAGACTACGATCCAACTGTTCTTTGCTGTCTTCCAAGGCCTTCTGTCTTTGCTTCAACAATTCGGCGTTGTCGGTTAAACTGGAAATCGACAGAATCGTAAGGATCGCGATGTACACCGCCGACACAGGTATCGCGAAACGGATACTCACGTCGATATTTCGTGCGGTTGAGCTTCTTTCTGGAATTTCTCCTGCAGTTTCATCTGATCCTCGAACATCTTGATAGCCTCCCCGAAAGCTTCCAGCGCCTGCCGTTTCAGCTGCACCTCGAACGACGTTCTGTTGTACTGTTCCGAATATTCCCTGTACTCCGTCAACGCGTGACACATCTCCTCGTCGAGTTCAACGAATTTCTGGATGACGTTCGCCATGTCGGTGGTACTCGCGATTTCGTCATCCTGAGCGGCAACAAACGAATCGATTTTAAGCATCGCGTGCACCTCTAATCGGCCCCTCGAATCCAACGAAAACTCCGTGGAAAATTACCTGTTGAAACCGGGAAATAGGGTACAACAATTTAATATCCAGCGTGGAATTATACTGCGCCAGCGAGCAATTCCTATAATGATCCACCAGGTCGATCACGGAATGGAAGTTATACGGCTCCGAGAAGCCGTATTTGCCGTTGCGTTGACAAATCTTGATAAGCTTGTTGGTCCCGCCTTTACGCAATGTCAGGGTGTACTCCCCGCCCTTAGAGGACGCGTCACGAACCAGGAAAGTGCCGTCCGGAGAATCGATCATCTTCTCGTTCACCTCGTCTCTCGTGATGTCCCCCCAGTACCATTCGGCGTCCTGAAGCGTGCGTGGCCTGTCGAGAGAGAGAGAGAGAGCGGGGAGGAAAAAAAAAGAAAAACCATAAAATTGAAATATACTCGCTGGAAATATACCCCTTTCACATAATGCGGACAAAAATAAACGGTCGTTTACCTGAGCGGTTGCTGTTGGTCCTTGTTCTCCAAACCCGACACCGATCGGTCCATGGAACCGTCCTCCTCCAGCATGGAGAACGGATCTAAAACTGGAAACTGTGGCCTCGAGACTTTTCGCGGCGGTAACTGCGGTGGGCTCGCGAACTGCGGCAATTTCTCGTTCCAATCGCCGTGCAGCAACAATATCTCCATTATCCGTATGTGAGCTTCGATATTATGAACTATTTGGCTGCGGGAGAATTGAGAAACACGGTACTCGGGATGCCTGAATACGGGGCGTGCGAGATATATATGGGGCAATTTGCGGAGGCTTACACGATCCGTTCCCAAGGCGGCCTCAGGAAAATGTGACACAGGACTTGCGTAAGGATCGTAGGAGGCTCCGTGTAACCTCTCGCGTGCTGTAACTGGCAAATCCGACAGAAGTGGGCCATTAAATGGAACAGAGTGCTACGGTGGTGGTGTGGAAGTTCGTCGACCAGCTGCGTCAAACGTGCCGCGCACTGCTCGTCGTTCCTCGTATCTGGGGGCAGAGGCAGACCAGTTTCTATTACTCTAATTTAAAGGGAAACATTCTTGTCCCGCCGCCCTCTCGCGACTTGTAATCCCTTGAATCCCAGTTTACATTCGAATTCCAAGCCGCGAGGCGTACGAGAGGTTCCAATGTTAAACGACTTCACGGTGTTTACCGTATTCCCGATACTCACTAGACGCTTCTATAAACCTATCGTAAAAGAGTACAGGAATCACAGGATCCGGCAATTCGCGCAGAAACTTCTTAAGGACACTCGCGATGCATTGAGGCGTGTAGGAATTCAAATCGGCGTTGCACATGTCTGAAACCCAAAGGAACACGCGCATATCAACAACCATCTCGCCGACTTGCAACGGAAAGAGCGAAGTAGCTGCACCGCGGAGGAGTTCGGTTTACCTTCGTTCAATTTCTGTCGCAGTTCCAGCGTTTGCTCGTTAGGAGGACTACTGTGGTAGACTTTGTACAGGTCCAGCGTGCTGTCGGCGAACGCCTTCTCCTCGAGGGCGCGGGTGCATCGTTCCACCAGGACCGGGGCGGCGCGTGCCGCGATGTCGAATTGCGCGCACAGCCCGAGACCGAATACTGCAAACGGGCAATCAAATAATCGGGATTGTTCGAGTAGAACGAGAACTTCTCGCGCTAACGAGAGGACAAAAAGCCTGCGAGGAACAGCGGCGAGGGTCGGGTGCGGGGCGGGAGGAGTAGTAGGAGGAGGAGGAGGAGTAGGAGGAGCAGGAAGGCGGAGAAGGTTACTTTTATACGTTCCGAGTTGTTCGTCCGCGGAACGGTCGTGCACGGCGACGGGCATTTAAAGAGAAAAGAGAGGAGGAAAAAAAGGACGGGTCGCACGGCCGTAACTCCCGGCAGCGTAAAATTGTATCCACGACTGGTCGAAAGAAAGCACGGAGGAAACGGGCGAGAAGAGGCGAGAGAAAAAAAAAGAGCCACGGAGAGCTCTACCTTTCACTGTTTTATTTATTGCCACGACCTCTAAGGCCGAGGAATCCGCCACCTCTTTCGTGCAGTCGCGGCGGCGAGCAACAACGCGTGAGAATTTTCCGACGACCGATAAAACTTTCATTTGTTC